CAAACAGGAGGAGATGGAGGAATCGCGGAAGCAGAAGGCGTTCAGCTTTTCGAGTATATAACTGTGCATCGCGTTGTATCAGCCGCGAGAGCAAAGATGACGGCGGCCTCGTGTCGAAACCAAGGCTCAGATAAGCTCGTTTTAGCGCGAGATAGTTAATCTTCCGCTTAATCGGCTTGTTTATCTCGACGTGTTACAACCGAGGGAACGTCGGTAATGGAGGATAGGCGAGAATGAAATCACTGGCTTCTTCATATTCGAACTTGCGTCTTGCAATTTGTCATTGATCAAACGATATTTCAATCGATCATTCTTCTTCGGTGTTAGAACATCCTGCTAATCGCGAATTAGGGAATATTCTTCTTGCTGTGCTCTGACACTCTTCGAGATTCTCCTTCTACTTTATATCGTTACTGACGGATTTATCACTGTACCACGATGTTTTTCTTATGTAGCGATAATTAGAAGTCCTGTTACTTCGAGCTCTTCCCGAATTCCCAAATGTTGTTCCCCTATGTTAGACTACCGTACTGTTATTAAATTCATCAATATTCTTGCTCTACGACGTTGTTCTCGGACTCATGAATATTCTTTTCCCACATTAGAGCGTCGTATCATTCTGAGATCCGTGAATATTGTTCTCCCACGCTACATTACTTTTGCATTCACGATTATTTCTGTATATCGGAGCATCTTATTATGTTATCGATTTAGCGAAAATTACTCCGCGTAAGAGCTGTTCGACGCGTGAAACGTTCGAGGCAATTATAGATGCTTTTCTCCGTGCGTCCAGTACACGAAAAAAAGAGGCAGAAATAATCTCAGACTTCGATCGAGCTTCGTCAAACAGTGAAAGTATCTAAATTTATCCTTTTGGCTTAACGAGCATGAGCAGTGGTTTCACGTGGCTCGTATACGTACACGTATCGCGCGATCACCGTTTCGCTCTGGACTCGAGATCGAGGATCGATCTTGCGCTACCGAGCGGAAGAAGATGTTGATCCCGTTTTCCGGACGTTATACGATCCGTGGAAAGCTACCTATCGCTCGGGAGGAAAAATTCGAGAGAAAGGAAAACCAGACACGCTCGGGAAATAAAAACGCTAAACTCGTTACACCTCCGTACCGATAATTTCAAACGACGTCTTATAAATTGAACTCGGGTAACTTACGCTCTCCCTCGCGATGCGGCAATTTGCGCAATTCTTCCGCTTGAAAATTAATCTGAGAAACGATCGAACGAAGTGTCGGTGACGTCCCGACCGGACACGAGTCAGTAAACGCGTTATAGACGACTCAATTAATTAAAACGGCTTCCGTTTCAGGTTCGAACCGGTACAATTTACCGAAGACATGCTGCGAGATCGACAGAAGCGAGCGAGCGCTGTAGCTACGTTTTCTATTTCGCGAGGCTGCTGCCGTGGATTAGAGATCGGTGGGTGTGTTGCGCGGGTCGGATCGGGTGCGCGATCATGCGTTAAAATGAAAGGAGACGCGCGCGACGCCGTGATGAGAAGACGAGAAAAACGAGGAACGCGTTCAGCTAGTCGTCAGCTTCTCTCGTGTTTCCTAAAAAGACCGTTCGATCGTTTGCGGCCGGATGCCGTCGCGAAAACTACCGTGGGATCGATGGGATTGCTACGGCGATCGCGATCGTTTTCTTTCTTCGATTTTTTCCTTTTGCGAAATATTCGCCAACGGGAATGTAATCAGATATACGAGCTGTCAGGTCGGAATACGAAAGATGAATCTTCCATGAATTAAATTCCTCGCGCCTAACCAGATTCAATTAATTCTTAACTAAAGCAGATTGAAAAAAAATACAATTTCTTTGTTATAATTATGCTCCCTTCAAATTTGTAACAGTTATACAGGTAAGTTCTGAAAGAATTTGTAATATACAGAAACGATTGATGAATTTAAAAACAAACGATTACGTGTGCGAAGTATCCTTGATTCGCCAAATAAGAAAACTGTGCTCCTCAAATTCTCTAGGAAGCCATCGACGTTTTTCGAAGGAGGCAGGGAGCGTAACCAATCGCAGATAGACTGATAAGGCAGGAACAATGGTAGGTAAGTCTAATCGTTCCATCGACGCGAATTGACGGTGAATCGAGCTGGTGTGATTGATTTTTTCCACTTTCTAAACGCGTACGCCCGAAACCGAAAGCGCACGGAATTTCGTGATTAGCTGCAGCGTTTTTTGTCAACGTCACGTTGGCAATAATGTTCGTTCGCGCGTGGAATTATTGCCTCATCGTTGTCTCACCGTCTGGTCTGGATTCGATCGTTGCGAACGATCGCAGACATTTTTCTCTTCGTCGATCGTTCTTGAATCGCTGGTTGCTTTCTTCTCGCCAAGGGGGCCGCGGAAACTGTCGGCTCCTCTTTTTCTATCGTAAACTGAACCACTCTTTACGACCGATTTGGAATTCCTTCGATGCCGTGCCGCGACTCGAAAAATATTCGCCACTTCTTTGGAAAACGTTCCTCGCGATCGGGAAGCATGCCGAAGTCGCGCGAAAGGAACTTCTGAAATTCATCAGGGAAAATTAATCGAAGACATTCTTTCGTGGCTCTCTGAAAGTGTCTCCACATTCCTGAAGATTCGAGTTCTCTAGGTAACCGTTCCTGTATCGCAGGAATTTCTGCCGCCCTGAAATTATTTACGATCGAGCCGGACAAGAAGAATCCTGGCCACGTAATTGGATTATATAATTGAACGAAGAATTATAGCATTGCCAGGATTCAATTAGACGGCGCTGCGGAAAACGAACGATCCTTGGCTCGATTTACGGCGGTTTCCATTTTGTTTTCCTTTTTTTTCAAGCGTATCAAGGCGATTCATTTGTCTATCCGGTTTGCTGAACCGTGAAATCGCAAAGAGAGACACTGTCTACGTTCTTCCTGAGATTTAGAGGCCTCTCGTTAATTTCTGTCAATATTACAATTTATCGGAACTCGGAAGAGACTTTCCGATTGTATGTTAATTTTGCAAACGCGACAATTCGAAAAGGTATCGATCGCAATTCCATTTTGTTACAGGTCGATAGGAACATCGGTCGCTTCGACGGTCGTGAGAAACGTTCCTAGATCAGAGCGTTACCCACGATACCTGTCGGTTACTTATTACGCAAATAATGTCGTGACTTCGTTCATCTTCATTCGTAAAGTTTTCATGAATCGAGCGCGCGTTCAATCGGACGGTGTTGAATGAAATCGAGCGGTGTACTATAATGCAATGGATCGAGTGGGCGTCGAGGATCGATTCAAACGATCATAACGCGTGTAAAGGCAAAGTTCAACGCTCATTAATTCACCAGCAGACGCCGGCAGCCAATTAGCTCGTCATTGTGCAACTTTGCTCGTAATTTCGGTCGAATGACGTAGATGCAGAACGCATCGATTACTCCGTGCAATAAAAATGACTCCGTCAATAATTGATAGAACGATATCGAGCGAAACATGCGCGGGCATTATTTTGTGATACTTTTGAAAAATTCAAATGTGACGGAAAGTGCGGAGTAGCGGACTCTAGCGAGGTGTGAGAAAGAAATGTAAGGTACCTTATGTTTTACTGGTAGTCGACAAGGGTGCTCTCTGCAAAAATTTTTATCTCTTCTCGCCAATTGTAATACTTTGAATGAACACTTTGAAAATATTGGTGGAAAATAATTAAAATTATTGCTCCACATAGCATATCCCAGATTCTAGAGCACATAGAATAACTTTCCCCATTCAGATCATTTTTTGTACAGTCAATGTATCCTAAAGTCAAATTTGATCAAGGGAAAACATTCCGAAATTAATTAGTCTTACACTCCGATGTAATTTGATGCATATTATATTAAATTAAGCCAATAAAATCAATTATAATTGCATTTTTTTAAAAATTGTACGAGTGGCGCCATCTCTCCGGCGAACAGGGTGAACTACACGGTTTTGAAACAGCTGGTTCATTAGTTCCATGCAGTGCCACCAGATGGCGTCTTAAGTGGCGCTGTCTAGTGGTAGAATATGGAACTAATTGAACTACAGTTTCAAAACCGTGTAGTTCACCCTGTTCGCCGGAGAGATGGCGCCACCAGTCCAATTTTTTTTTTAATTCAATTAATATTTATTTTACTGATTAATATGCTATATATTTATTAATATTGACTTTATGATGTTCTAAAAGAACTTATTTGACAAAAAAACAAAATTTTCTATTTCCTTGTTGTTCGCTGTTAGATGGCGTCAGTGGTATAATTTTTTAATCGCGTGTTAATTCGAATACAAAATATTGTCACAGTAAGCTCCGCACCCTCGCAATTATTAAATTAAATACTTTAATAACTAATTAGACGATCGATTCAGTTCCAAAAGTTTCTAGCTTCTAGCTATGTAAAAAGGAAATAAATGCATCACAGTCATCAAAGTTGAAGTGTAATATTTTAATGGTAATCATAATGAAGTTACAGGATGCATTTTATACAGTATGTATAGATAGAGTCATAATATAATCGTCCTTAATTATCTCGATCGACGTAAGTATGCTTAATCAATCCGTAAGTTTATTATCGTCTATTAGTCAGAGAGGATGAAGGAGAGATATGTAGAACACGTGTCCGTAGAATCTTACGTGAAGGAAAGTGGTGAAACCCCTATCGCGGGTGAAACGCCAAATGTTCGCAATCGTAGACAAGAACAATCGAAAGGAAGAAAAGAAACAAGAACGAAACGCCGTTGTTTTTCGTTTACACAAAAAAGGATTCGCAAACTTTCTTCGCGTAACATTCAAGAGAGCGTTTCTCTTCGAACATCGAGAACCGGATGGAAACACGCGCGACTTTATTAACTATCGAGTGAAATAAACGTAACAATTATGCGTATCCGATGAAGAATCAATCGTGAATCGTGTCACGATCGATTCAAAAGATCGCATATATATATAATGTGTATGTATAATATATGTCTATGTATATATATATATTTATATATATATTAATAAAAATCACGAAGAACTTTTGTATTCTTTTGTTTCTCTTTTTTTTTACAAACGTTATATCACCTAATGGAAATTTGTACACAGATTCTCATAAAACGTATCTCTGTTAATTACACGCTCGCTTAGCTAGTCGTTATTCTCGTCGCTTTGGCTTCGCGTCTATTAAACCGATTTGTCACGGCACATATTCGAGCACAAACTTCACCACCTTCGTTTCGGTCGTTTCTTCCTCGAAGATCACAACGTTCGATCGACTTTCTAAGAAAGAAAATATCGGCGAATCGATCGTTTCGAAAGTTCAAATCCTCTTTGCATCGTTTCACGATTAGATCGTTCTTGCACGAACACCGTTTAGGGGTGAGATCGAGTTTTAGAAACTCGACGACGACGGTAACTTCTTCCGGCTGAGACGGTTTTCACGCGACGCAAAGTAACTCGTCGATACGAATAAATAATACTACGGTGGACGATGAGGAGGGGAGGGGTCAGAATTCGAACGATTATTAATTTACGTGCGCGTGTACAATGAGAACGTGTCTGTAGGAACTACGCTATTGAACAACTTGCTCGTAACCGGTGTGTGTTTGCGTGTGAAAAAAAGGACAGTGATTTTTCGTTCGATCTCTTTTCTCGCGGTGCGAAAATAACAGACGCGAAAAAACGCGGGGTCGATGTATTCAGGCCATCCCATAAATAATACGGTTTATTCGACAGATACGTTTTAAATGGTCGAAATAATGTCTGACGCCGATTTCTCTCGAGAAAAGAACAAATTTTACATAGGCGAGTTTGCTTCCGTGATACTCGTATTTGAAAGAAATCGTATTGCCGATGAAATGACCCGATACAATCCGAACGTAGAAATTTATAGAACACTCTTCCTTTCCAACGTGTTCGTCCTAGCATCGGGACCAATCCCAACGAAAGTTTCACTCGAACGTACTCGAAGAGCCGATAACACGTTTCTCGAACCAACACTTTTGTCACTACGAGCAACTTCAAACACGATCGAATCTAGCTACGGTTAAAAAATTACATCGAGACAAACATCCTCGTAACAGTTGTACGTGTCACTAAAAAGGGACCAGTCCGATCCAACTGGACATCCTCGTCGTTCAAGCTACGCGACCTATGGGCTATGTAGAAATTTCGATGACCGGCTCCGCGGTGTTGTTGTTGAGCATCTGCTTCTCTCTCAGTTTCAGATCGTACTGCGGGGGCGGCGTGGATTCCTTCGCCTCGACGGGGGACAATCCGTCGGTTTCGTCGAGAGGAGACACTCCTTCCTCGCTGTCCTCGTCTTCGTCGTATTCGGTCTCCATCTTGGACTCGTGCATCTCGTGCAATCGGCTGGGCAGGTAAGCAGGATGAGGGGGTATTCCGTAGCCCGCTTCGCCGCCGTACGTCACTTTGCCCATGAACGATCTGATCTCGTCGAAGTACGTGTCCTCTCGTTCGTTCTCGTTGCTGCTACCCGGCGAATCGGCTACGGAGACGACTCCGCTGCCATCGTCGGCCTCGTGCTTCTTCAGGTGTCTGTCCAGGTTGGTCTGTTGGCCGAAACATCTCTCGCAAAGGGGACACTTGAACGGTCTCTGCTTATCGTGGATATTCCTCACGTGTCTCTGCAGATTGCTGGAGATGCTGAAAGATCTCTCGCAGTACTTGCACTTGTAGGGCTGCTCGCCGGTGTGCGTCCGCAGATGTCTGGTCAGATTAGCGGATCTGGGGAATACTTTGCCACAAAACTTGCACGAGTATCGATCCTTCATCTTGCCGTGAGCGTGATGAGGATGGTGATGGTGGTGGGGCGCGATCACGGCTTCTTGAAACGGCTTGACGCCGGGGCCGGGGAACGGACCCAGCGGCGGCCTAGCAAGCAGGTCGAACCCTCCGCCTCCTGGCCTAGCGCCGCTGAGTCCGTTCATAAGCGTCCCTAAAAAAGGGAGCCCACGGGGTGGCCCGAACGGTGGTAGCGGTGGTAGTAACCTGGATTCTGGTGTGGCGCTTCCGGGCGGCGGTGGTCCACCCGGGAACCCGGGGAAACTGCCCGTCGGTCCGCGGTACATGGCCTCCAGGAACATGGGATGAATGGGTCTCGGGTAAGCCATGTGCGGCGGAGTATTTGTGGGCGGTTGCTCCGGTAAACTGGTTCTCAGCTGCGGACTACTGGGCACGTCCTTGGCGTCGACGTTCATCGGCGCAGGAGCTTCTTCTTCGGGCTTTGGACGTTCCGGAGGCGGCGGGGCTTCCTCCATCGGTGCCGGAACAGGCGAAGGACTGTGGCTGTTCCTCTCGGCAGTGTTCGACGGCGGCTTTTGCTTCTTCGTTTGAACTCTCAGGTCCAAAGGTTGATCCGTCGTCTCTTCGTTGGAATTTGTCGGAGCGTGTTCGGGATCCTTCTTCTCGTTGTTACCGGTGGCATTCCGTTTCTTCGCAGGGTCGTCGTCGCTCTCCGGAGTGGGCTGTACGGGCGGTCTAGCAGGAGAGGGTCTGAACGACGAGGTGGCCTCTTCGGCGGTGGATGGAGAGACTTTGCTGTGCTGCGGTAGCACTCTCGGAGGAGTGAAGCGTTCCTTCTTCGGGCTGTCGCTTCTCTTCTCGGTCTCCTCGACCTTGGGTGGAAAGAGCAGCGGGGTATTCAAAAAGTTCGGAGCGTTCGGGAATATTCCTGGGTACGGACCCATCAGACTGGGCGGGTAGAAGGGCAGACTGCCCGGCAGACTGACAGGGGGTCGGTAGACGATGAACGGGCTGGGTGCCGAAGTCGGCAACTGCGGCATGGCTCCTGGTGGTCCAGTCGGTGGCGTGGAATCGCAGAATCGCTTGTGCTTCGACAGAGAAGTCACCGTGCTGAAGGATTGTCCGCATTTAACGCACTTGATCTGCATGCGACAGTCCGCGTGCATTCGCTTGTGCCGGCATAGATTCGAAAACTGAGTGTACGCCTTGAAGCAGACCTCGCACTGGAACGGTTTCACGCTACTGTGGATATGAGTGTGCTGCTTCAAACCGGAACTGGTTGCGAACGTTTTGCCGCACTCGGTGCACGCGTGACTCCTCGCGCCCACGTGATGCGTCCTGATGTGACGCTGAAGGTTCGACGGATCCGTGAAGACCTGCGGTTTGTCCGACTGTTAGCGAAACTTTGAAGATGTCGCTTCGAGGGAGAACGTGTTGGGTTCGGGGTTGGTCGGTTCAGAGGTGATACTTACCTTTGGACAGTTCTCGCAGGGGTAGTTTCGAAGATCTCCGTGCACGATCGCGCGATGTCGAACTAGAAGAGGCCGCCAGGCGTACGCGCGGGGGCAGCTGTCGCAGCGATGTTGCTCCGCTGGGTATCGGTGACAAGACACCAGATGACTGTCCAATCTGCAAGGATAACGCGAACACCGTCAGCAAAATGTCTTGGGTGAAAATCGTTCGTTCGAATATTCAAACACTGCACTGGATTTAGCAACGAACGCGGAGTTTTTCTTCGACTCGTAGACTCGAGTAATCTCTAAACCGACACCCTCCTCTGGACGAGCAGCGTTCGAAACTGCTCCGTCGTAATCGCGTGGAAATCTCTGACCACCTCGAGAACCAAGAACCCGAGATATAATCGATCCGGGGCAGCACACCGACGAAGACTGCGCTCGGTGCAGTCGAGGATGATGACTAAGTGACTCCGGTAGAACGGCAGCTCTCGCGTAATAACGGTCACACGCCAGCGAGGAAGAGGCCATCAGACTGGGCGGGTAGAAGGGCAGACTGCCCGGCAGACTGACAGGGGGTCGGTAGACGATGAACGGGCTGGGTGCCGAAGTCGGCAACTGCGGCATGGCTCCTGGTGGTCCAGTCGGTGGCGTGGAATCGCAGAATCGCTTGTGCTTCGACAGAGAAGTCACCGTGCTGAAGGATTGTCCGCATTTAACGCACTTGATCTGCATGCGACAGTCCGCGTGCATTCGCTTGTGCCGGCATAGATTCGAAAACTGAGTGTACGCCTTGAAGCAGACCTCGCACTGGAACGGTTTCACGCTACTGTGGATATGAGTGTGCTGCTTCAAACCGGAACTGGTTGCGAACGTTTTGCCGCACTCGGTGCACGCGTGACTCCTCGCGCCCACGTGATGCGTCCTGATGTGACGCTGAAGGTTCGACGGATCCGTGAAGACCTGCGGTTTGTCCGACTGTTAGCGAAACTTTGAAGATGTCGCTTCGAGGGAGAACGTGTTGGGTTCGGGGTTGGTCGGTTCAGAGGTGATACTTACCTTTGGACAGTTCTCGCAGGGGTAGTTTCGAAGATCTCCGTGCACGATCGCGCGATGTCGAACTAGAAGAGGCCGCCAGGCGTACGCGCGGGGGCAGCTGTCGCAGCGATGTTGCTCCGCTGGGTATCGGTGACAAGACACCAGATGACTGTCCAATCTGCAAGGATAACGCGAACACCGTCAGCAAAATGTCTTGGGTGAAAATCGTTCGTTCGAATATTCAAACACTGCACTGGATTTAGCAACGAACGCGGAGTTTTTCTTCGACTCGTAGACTCGAGTAATCTCTAAACCGACACCCTCCTCTGGACGAGCAGCGTTCGAAACTGCTCCGTCGTAATCGCGTGGAAATCTCTGACCACCTCGAGAACCAAGAACCCGAGATATAATCGATCCGGGGCAGCACACCGACGAAGACTGCGCTCGGTGCAGTCGAGGATGATGACTAAGTGACTCCGGTAGAACGGCAGCTCTCGCGTAATAACGGTCACACGCCAGCGAGGAAGAGGGTGGTCATCGCATACACGGAGGCCTACGACGCCGACGACGACGACGACGGTGCACACGAACGGTCGGTTCTTCGGGGGTTGCCGCGAGCTGGCCACGGGTTATGGTCACAGGATGTGCCATGGTGTGTGCCGGCATTGATTTTACACCCTCGAACACACGTGTCGCGTGAAAGCTATTCGTGGTGAGATAGTAGGTTCACGGTGACGGTGTGCCGTGCCAGATGAGCTGCGGGCACGCGACGCCTTCGATGATGCATAAGGGGGTGGCTCGATGCAACCGAATGCGGATCTCGCGCGTACTTTATGCGCCACAACAGGTGACTCTGCCGAGTACAGGCACACGGAAGTGGCTGGTGTTGCGGGTTGTCGCGAGACCGGGAAATGGATGTCGGAACGGAACGAAATGGATGTCCGAAACTGGACCGGTCGAGCGGTTACGCAAGCGGCCATTTTTTTGTTTTACTCGCGAACATCGAAATGGCGCTGCGAGGCTTACCACTTTGTCGATACGTCGACGATCGAGAACAAATTGCCAACGTTTCGATAAAAATACGATTGAAAATAGAATTTACTTCTGATTAAAGATCTAATCTCGTAACCGAATTAAGATACGCGGTTCGATTCCATCACGCGATCGTCGAATCGTGGGAAGGATCCGAAGCCAAACAACGCGAACTTCCATATGGCGGCACATGGGTTAAGTATTTGACTTTTCGTTTAATGGGGCGCTGCGAACGAAGCACCGCCGACCCCTGAAAACGCTATCGCACCGCCACAAGCAACCCTCGAAATAGTTCGCGTGCTCGGTGCCCCTCTTTTCGAACGAAGCCCAACTAACGCTCCGATTTCGACCAGATAAAGTGCTGCTCGTTCCTGTATTTTGTCGATTAATGAATAATTTATTCGCGAAATCAAACATCCGATTATGATGCCGTTCAACGAGTCTATTGTTTTCGTGGCTTGCAATTTCAACAGCGCCGATTACAATAAGCGTTGCGTTTTTCGATTACGATTTAACCCGTACACGTTCCTTTAGGAAGCGATTCGAAGCGATCTGATTTCGACGTTGCGCGACGATGCGTCATGAATCGTTCATGAGGTTCGTATCGTCGCATCGACGTCGATTTGCTCGGCTAATAAAACGCACGAACGTAATAATAAGGTTGTTGTGTATCGATAGAGAACGGAAAGAATTGAAATTAATGGCGAACTAGACAACGATTGACTTCGTAGAACAAATAAGAAAATACTTACAGCTCGATGTCCTGAAACGGTTTGTCGCAGACGGTGCACCTGGTCTCTCCCTCTTCCTCGTCCTCTTTATCCTCGTCGACGGTGCCGCTGTGTTGCGAGGCTGCAAGCACAAAGAAGAAAAGGAACATGAAACGACACCGATACCGCGAAAACCAGAGTCAGGGTGGAAGTCATAATTCCGTTCCAGTTTGTGACGGGCTGCGGCTCTATAAATTACAACCCCGTGAACGATGATACGTGACCTGTCGTCGTGTGGGCGAATTACGTGATAGAGAACTACGCGGGGCCAGCAGAGAGTGGCGTGACAAGTGGACGCCGGGATTGTTCCTGAATTATTAAATCATATCGGCACTATCGTTTTATCTATCCAACGAAGAACTCGATTCTATCCACGAGCTATGAAGCTACGTAACTTTTTAAACGTTGACGCTTCTCCGCTTTTGTTACTTTTAACGCGAACGCACTATTTTTATGATCATCGTTTACTTTCAACTGTGACTTTCACAACTTTATGTTCTTCTTCAAAATAAGATTATTTATGTTTTACACAGACAATATAATTAAATGCATAAATTCATTTTTTACGTGACGCTGGTTGAAACAAAGAACTTGCTATCAGTCGTTTACCGATTAGAATTCTTCGTAATCGATTACTAATATTATTAGAAATCTCTCTTCTTTTTTTTTGTTCAATTACGTTTAAATCGTGGTAGAAATCACTGATGATCCTCGCAGTCTTTGAGGTGTTAAGAGTGTATCGTCTCGCGAGTTTTCGACACTAGTTTGTAACTCTTCTTATTTCGGTCACGATGCTGCTGTCGCCGAAGACAATGGATACAATGATGCACCAGTTAGTTGGTAGCACGTTGTCTCGTGACTGAAAACACGAACGGGGTGTCTGGGACCGTTTCCTACTGGTAACAGCGAGGTCTGAGTCCAGCCAATCGCAGGTGAGACTTTACCCCCTGCGATCTCTTGTCACCCCCGCCTGACAGGAGCAACGGCAGGTAAAGTCAAGAACCCGTGACAGTGTGTAATTTTTGTAGTGCTTTGTAAGATTTTTTATCCATTCAACGGTTAGAATTACGTCGCCCCGTCTCATTTAATTTTGCAAAAACTAACAATAAATTACGATAGTTTTTATATATATAAAATAAGAAATCGAACATTTTACTTGATATTCCATTTTATATTCCTTGATTTTACATTTTACGGTTATGACACTCTAATAAAGAGACGCAACTTTTTTTGTAACGTTAATGTAAAAATAATTAGCCAATCGATGTACGTTGATGGAATATTAGGTAGACGAATGGCAAGCTCGAAAAAGATACCCGTCCTCCAACGGTTATTTAAATCTGCCGCTACACTTGTTCCGACCATATGGTCAGACGATGGCCCCCAACGGACCTTCATGGGAACCGGGCACAACCCCTACGCCACCAACTACGCCCTACGCCACGGTGCAACCCCCCATAGAACGTTAATCGTTTCTCTATGCACGACTAATTTGAAGCGGCACGCCGTGAATTTAAACAATGAAGGATGCGGTGGACCTCGTGATCTACTAACACGCTCGTACAACGATCTTTGAAAAGACAAACAACTGAATAGTTGTAATACGACGATAAATATTTAAACCGAGTTGATTTTTAACGATTGATAAATCGTTCATGTTTAACCGGATATGACTAATACTTAAAATTGGACATTAAATTCTATAGTAATACAGTTAATACGAATATGTCTGTAGCAATATGATTGTTATTAAAATATTGTAGATAATAAATTTTGCAGTAAAGTGTAAAAGATGTATAGTAACGTCCATAATAAACGCTATACGATCAACATTAAAGACATCAAATTTTCCCAAGGGAGATAACGATCGATAAATGGATCCAGACTTTTAGAGCGTATCACGAAAAAAGACAGCGAAATGTTACGTCGAGGAAAGTCAACAGGTGGGATCTAGTGGCAGCACCCCCTGCAGCCGTGTCAGTTGGCGGTTGCATGGGAAAAAGTAACGGAAATCAATGTTTCCGTAGCATCGTGACGAACTAGGATCCAGTAAATATTCCAAAGAACTCGAGCGAGACGATGGACACCTCAAAGTGGAACCGACACTCCCTACTTCCTCATCGCCTATTCGATTATGTTTCTTGACAGCGGTATGTCAGAGTAAACCTTGCTCAGAGTTAATGCAGATTGAAAGCAAGTGAAAACAGAAAGAAAGCGGTATAACAGAAGAAACGTGAGATCATTTTAGGCTATTTAACTTAACAAGTTGTGATCGACAAAAGTCACAATGGATTGCGGATACTTATCCCACGTTCGACAAAAGTGTTTCGCAACGTGACCGAGTAAACCGTCAAACAGGACGTGTCATTAGTCGGATGAATCAGATGGGGTTGCTGTGTGTCACGCGTTTTCGCTCAACCCGCGCGTGCCACCCCCTCGGAAAACAGCGTCGCGTGCCCTTTTATGCGCGGATACCCCTTTTTTTCAAACGGTGCCCTTCTTTTTTCCTCCTAGACCGCCCCAGAGACCAGGTTTACGCGCGTGTTAATCGACAATACCCGGTCATAAATTATCCGCGACCCTAAATAGAGTCATCCGAAAACGCGGACCGAGAGGCTGATAGACGAGGAAGGATGCATCTAGTGGACGATGGGACGAAGAAACAGGGCAGGGGAAACTAGAGGGGAAAAAATACAGGCGCCGCGAAAAATCCAAACCATAACTCACGTTAACTGCCGTTGCCAGTTGCATCTACACGCCCTTCGTCGATGCACGCGTTCCGTGCAACGTGGTTTACCGAATCGTTGGAAAAAAATAGCGTTCGTTCTGGGACCATAAAATGTCGTATCGCTTGTCATTGAACCAACTATTAGCGTTCTCGTTGCCGACAGTTTTGTTTGCAGTTCGTCCCGATGGCGATGCGAATGAAACTTGTTGGTCTTTGGGACTTCGATACATCGAACGATATTGCTACACGTTAGATCGTCAGGGATCATTACTTGTATGTATTACAACGTGTTATGTCGCCACGTACTGTATGATCGAGCATTAAATTCGATTATTTAATTTCACGAATTTACGAGAATAGCAGTTTTCTCCCTCCTTTAAACGCATAAAGGAGATTTTGTCGCCATTCTAATGCGGTTCTATGCATACGCGCCCCCATGTAGGTATGTTAAAACGATTCCCTATCGTCCCTGCTGGAGAAAAAAGAATGATCCGCTCAAGGGAGACACAGAGATATCCCTCGCAAGGGTTGCTACGGGGTGTACACCGTTTGTTTGACATCATTATTCTACGCTGCACGCACCAGCTTGCCAGAGATTTCTCGTAAAAATGGCTCTGCTGGATTAACGACAATGCTCTTGTACCATTTCACTGTACTTTATAGCCGACACTTTTTTCCCTCGCTTATTCCGGTTCTTTAGAAGGGAAACAGGAGAAACAAATCTACCACAGCGAGCGTAGAATCTTAACATTCGATAGGAGGTTCGCGATAATTAAAAGAAGTAAATTATTTTATAAATTCAATTCGAGTAACTTGGAAGAAAAATTAGATCATGAAATCGCTTTATATGTACAAGTGATTCTGTAAATTTAATGTTCAGACAGAATTTCCATAATTACGAATAAACATTTGCTGGGACTGTCAAAGTCCACTTCCGGAATAGCCTGCGAGTTCAGGGTGGCAAGGAGAAATTCGACTCCCCTCGCTGAAGATAATTTATAAGTGAAAGGAAATCTTGGAAATTTTAATTGTTCAGCAAGGAGGGTGGGCATGATTTAATTAAGAACATAGCGGGTTCGCCGAAGCTGTGACTGTCTTCCTTTCATTATAGCGAGGACGTTTACGAGCTGCCGAAATTACGAGAAAAAATTGTCGGCCAATGAACACGTAGACAGCTTCGAGCTGCTCGAACTTTGACGATAATCTTGCTTTTAATTACCGCGACATCTGGATGTCGCTTATAAGCCCCTTTAATCTTCGCCAAACAGTCATCCGGATTCGGACCATCGCGCAGGAGTTACAACCAGATAATTGTCGAGCCACCCTCTTCGAAACTCCCTCGAGGACGCGAGCTGCTACCGAATTAGCTATTTCATTTGTTTCGAAAACTATTGGTCTGTAGAATATTTATCGAGCAAATTTCTACCGTGGAGGAGTTACTTTTATTCGAAAATAAACAATTGAAAAGTAAATGGCTGTTCAAATTGCAAATATTTCACTCTTACTTGGGTGTAGAGGGACTTTGGAGGTTGTAGATGTACGTTTCTAGTTATGCATGTGAAATTACAGCTGCGTCGCGTCGTCGAACGTTCGAAAGTGGAATTTAAAGTGGCACGAGACAGGGTAACACGCGGTACGAGTGTCTATCTCGAGATAATCAGTGCTTATTACTTCAGGACAGGGGGTTAATACGCAACGGCCAACCAGGTGAATCACGCCAGAATCAAGGGTGCATGACGAGCAGCTCGTGCAGTCAACGATTCACGATTTACCCTCTGTCCTCCCTCGCATCAGCGGCTAACTCCGCTTTTCGAAGACACCTGCACCCCCTACCATCGCGCTTTCCGCTTGTATGCGCGATCTCGCGCGAGTTACGAATCGTAACTTGTACCGGCTCGAAAAGTCGTAAAGCCAACCTGCCACCACGGTTTCGAATATTTTAATAGGTTCGATTATCTTGCAACTTCACCCCAATTTCCGCTGTCACGTCAGTTGGTCACCGGTCGCTCGAGTTCACCTTTATAACGACGCACGCACGAATTTTTTATTCTTTTATGCAGATTAATAACCAGTTTGGTAGATCGCTCGAGACATAAAGCTAAAGTACAGATTTCGAACAATTAGTCCTTTGTATCGAACTGAATCGTATCGGATTAAATTGTGTCGACTTGAATTGGGTTATGTTAAATTGAATCGCACCCAATCGATATCTGTTGAAATACCCAATTCTAACTAATTACATCTTGAGGGAAATGAGCTCTTGTAGTACCACAATGTCGAATGGTTAATAACTGTTGGAAGAAGGAAGAAGAGGACCCTCCTGTGACAAGATCGTAAATCTTGATACTCACCGGTCTCCCGATCGCTTCTGTCCTCGGTCGTATTTTCGCCAAGCATGTCCTGCAACTGAAGAGGTTCTCGAACACCGAGAAGAAGCTCTTCACCCGCTGCTATGTCCCGGACAGCCTCGTATACCATCTGCGAACAATGATATCCTTGAATCTTCCGACCCTCTCTCGTTACCTTTCATCGCGAATTATCTCGAGTAGGGCTCGAAACGAATACCGAGATCGGACACTGTTACGAATCATCGAACGGCGAACCATAAATTCGATAGCGATCGAATTAGAAAGTGATCGTTCGAATCGTAAGATCGAAAGTGCAATAATTTCGAACGCCCCATGTCCATTAAAATCCCGTTACCGCGCGATACGTATTCCACGGAGTCCATAACGTTCGAAAGCAATGAAAAGATCTTTATGGTGTCGTCAGGAGGCCCCCGCAAAAGTCATTACAACGACGATTCTGTAGGGCGCTGATAGAGCGAGCCACATCCCCCATTCCCACACCGATTGCGAACAGGGCGTATAGGAAGTCGGCGAAACGACCCTGTGGGGTGACTTAATAACTAAACACCCTGTATACACGTAGCTTAGGGCACGGATACCATACCGCGAAATACCATGTGCCACGGTTCACACACAGATAGAAAAATCGAAAGGGCACGAGGCCAGAACCAACCCCAAAATTGACACCATGACCTCCATTGCCGCCATTTCATCTACGATAAATTGTGTAAAACTGAAAATGTCGGATATTATATCTACAAATTTAATTGGTCTTCACTTTTTTATTACGAGGTTAACTTTATTCGAAGTCACGTATTTCCAATTATATTTATTGCGTCGAAGGGCGATTATTGTACATTTATGGAATAAATGAACATTGATTTGACCAACGAGTTTGTTTCGAGAAAGGATTAAAATTACATCAAGCTTGGCAGCTACAAATTCCAACCGTCCGGTAAAGTTGCTCGCGGTTTCCGTTTCATCGTCTCATTAGCGAGTCACGGAAACGGTGGTAGTGAATTTTCTTTTTTACACATTAGTTTCGCCAGCGTGGAGACACGTGAAATTAACCAGCAGTGCGTCTGACACCGTGTAATTATTCCTTCCTATTAACTGCAACTGTCGATCGAGTGTCAGTTGTGCCCGAAATCGAATTTGTAAATGACCAGTGGCACCGGTACGGTACCGAGTTCATACCGACTTGTAAAACAATTACCGAAGCACGCGCGGTCGCGTGGAAAGGGAACTCTCGTCGAACGTGACCGGAAGTTGCGATCGTTACACGTTAATCGATGACATTTTGTTCGCGACTACGAAGAAACTACGATTTCATTCCATTTCCGATTTTTCAGAGGATCGAACGGTTGTTTACCTGTCCGCCGATCAGCACGTGTCGCATATTAACCGCATGTGGACTGTTGGTGCTGCGAACGTACTTCAACCAGTTATTCGTTTCGTGCGAGGCGTCCAACCACCCCCTGACACCACTTCCGGCAGTACGTACCTGGAAAAAAGGAAAACTTTTCGTACACACGATTTTAACGTCTGCGCGTGCAAAATCTTTTCAAATTTTACACTTGACGTTACTATTAACGCGAAAAAAAGAGCGATAAATTTCGTCAGGGGATGCACGTGCGGAAAATAGATCGAACGAATGCGAATTTCCGGAGGCTAACCGCAATGTGTCGGATTCGGAACATTGCGTTCAACGGACTACCACCCACGGATATCGCCCTCTCATCACCCTATCTTTCTCCAGCATCCAACGACGGAAGGGCGTACTCTCCCTACTTTTAGGGCGAGACAAGTGATTTTTTCAATTGTCTTGCGCGACCACGCAACGCTCCGAGACGCTT